TGACGATGACGATGGTGGTGGTGATGATCATGATGGTGACGGTGATGATGATGATGATGATGATGATGACGATGACGATGACGATGACGATGATGATGGTGGTGGTGATGATCATGATGGTGACGATGACGATGACGATGACGATGGTGATGGTGATGATGATGATGATGATGATGATGGTGATGATGATGATGATGATGATGATGATGATGATGACGATGACGATGACGATGACGATGACGATGAAGATGAACATGAAAATAATGAGGAGGAGGAGGATGAGGATGGGGATGAGGATGAGGACGATGACGATGACGATGACGATGACGATGATGATGATGACGACGATGATGATGATACGCAGGAAACGGTCTGCTCCTTTCTGACATTTGCGAGAAGAGCTCGGCTGCTTTCCTTTATGAGCTTGTATCGCCAAACCCTGAAGACCTCTCCGGAACAATCCTGACAACTTAACTTGGAAGCCGGATTGGACCTGACCCCACCCGCCGAGGCCATAGAATGGCACATCGTTGTAGACGGTGTCCTGGCAGTCCGTAGCAAGGTTTAGGGTTGAGGATCTAGGCTTTGGGGTAATCGCGTACAGTAAACCCCATGGAAACCGGATTAAGGACAATTAGTGCCGGGATTCCCGATACATTACCCTTTAAGGTAGAGGCCATTGGGTGTCCAACTTTTGGGCTTCTACTATATTGATAAACTCATATCGGGTTCTGCTGGCTTGTACGGATCTCGGTTTCTGGTTCTGTTTTGCCGGAATGAGAGGCCGAGCAGGCAGGAGTTTGCAATGCATTCATGATTTCTGGCGTCTCGACTGATCTACGAGGCCGCTGTGTGGGTTACCTCTGAAAGGTGCCTTTTGGCTTCGGCCCACTTACAGGGTGAATGACAGCGCTCGCCTTGCGACTTCTGGTCGACGGCTGCGGCTCGAGGCCCTGAACCCTAGAGCCTGCAAACCCCCCGGTTTAGGATTTAGGGTTGAAGATCTAGGGTTTCGGGTTGAGGATTTAGGAAATGTAGGGTTTAAGGTTCAGGGGGCCACAAAGCCCGGGACCTGCTGTAGGACTACAAGGCTGAGACTGCAGGCTGGTGAAGAAGCGGAATTCCGTAAAGCACGCCCCTTCCTCAAAAAGCATCACTCCCAGATACCATTAAGAAGCACCAGATGGATACCATTAAGATACACCTGCCTAAAAATATAGGTTTTCTGGAATTATTAAATCCTGGTCAAAGATGGTTCTAAAATATGCCATCTGAGCCCGCAGCATGATTCCGAGCAAAGCGAACCGAGTTCCGCGAGAGAATAGGGGCCGACATCTGCCCCTTCTCAACCTCGCTCGGGATTGGGAGCAACATGGTTGAGAGCGCAGCACGCACAAGCTCTAAATTTAAGCTTCAATGGATAGAAGCCGAAAGCCAGCGCGATGTTTCAGGAGGTCACTCTTGTCCGAAAATTTCTGCTCCCATAGCACAGTACCTCAGACTGGAACCTCACAACAAATCCCCACGTGACTTCCAAACCCCTCCTGGCAAGCCTTCAAACGACAGTTTTGCCGAATTCTGCATCGCCAGAGAAGCGAGTTTCGTTGCATCCGGGAAGCGGCAATGTCTCAAGTCCCTGTCAAGCATCACGATGAACGACACATACCCAAGCTTTAGCTCGGAGACCCAACACCCTGAACCAAAAACCCTCAACCAAACCTCAAAATCCTAAACCCACGCCCTGAACCGCAAGCTAAACCACAAAGCCTGAACCCGAGGCCCCCTAAGCCCCTACGCCCCTCAGCCCCTGAACTCCAAGGCTCGGAACTCATAGCTTCCCAAGGTCCCGGCCGTGCCGAGCTTCTCTGGTAGCTCAGTCGGTCTTTTCATCTCCAGGTCCAGCCTGGTAGTGGTGGTAGTGAGGATAGCAGCTGCAGGAGTAGTAGTAGTGGTCGTAGCAGTGGTAGTCGCAGCGGTAGCGGTAGTAGGAGTAGGAGTAGGAATAGTAGTAGCAGTAGTAGTAGTAGTAGTAGTAGTAGTAGCAGTAGTAGTAGTAGTAGTAGTAGCAGCAGTAGTAGCAGCAGTAGTAGAAGTAGTTTGAGTAGTCGCGGTAGTCGTAGTGTAGCATCCGCAGCAGGAGCAGCATCAGCAGAAGTGGCAGTCATAGCAGCAGTCGTCACAGTAGCAGCAACACAACATTTACGGCAACAACTTGAAACAATCAACATAATTATAAGCAGCCAAAGCAGCATGACCATGACCATCACTGTCACCACCAGCATCCGCCTGACTATTGTCATCAGAACCACAACTGTCGCTCTACGATAAACCTGCCCGCTTGACAGCACTTACACAGGTGTTTTGTGCCGTCGGATTTGCGGTGGCTGTTGACAACATATCACACTCTCTTTGAAGCATTGCACCTCATTGCATTCTGCTGGGCCCGGCGCAAGTGCTTTACCCAGTCGTGATGTTCGAAGTCCACGGCATGCGGTCCAACCTTCTGCAATGAAAGCTTCAGACGTGTAGAACACCCTGTCAAGACTCCGAAGAGAGGATACCTGAGAGACTATGGCATGACAGCAATGTCTAAAGTTCTGAAGAAGCCATGATATCGGTCAGGTGTAGTACTTCTCGTGGCAATAACTGAACTTATGTATTTCCTTCCAACTCTCTTCCACGTGTAATGTGGAGTTTCAGCAAGTGGGGGACCCTAAATCAAACCTACCAAAAGAATCAGATCTGTTTTGTAAGGACTCGCAGAATAGGAACACCTACTAGTCCTCACGTATCAGGGGCGTGGGCCGGGAGTTGCGTGGTGTCGAAACTTAGGGCTCTTAAATTCCCGAGCTCGCGATGTTCTACGATTCTACCTTTTTACGTGTTTGGGGTTTAGGGGTTTAAGGGTTTACGGGTTCAGGGGTCTGGGTGAATTTTGACACGGGAGAGGTTTGCAATGCAGCATTTTACGCTCGAGAGCCAAGAATCGACTCCTCTCAACCCCGAATCGCCACATACCTGCAACCCTACGAAAAACACAGGACGAATCTCGGTGGATCATATGGAAGAGAGCCCTGTATTCTCCCCATAAGTCCTCCATCTTCAACAACCACATGGGCAGTTGTCAAAATTATGGTCCCTTTCGGGGTACCCTAAATAATAGGTGCCGTATTATAGTAAGGACCCAAAAAGGGACAATAATTTTGACAACCACCCACATGGAGCCCTTGAACCCAAAAGTGCGAAGCAGACTTGGCCTCCAGAAATCTCCGCAGCCAGGCCTGGGGAAGCCATTCGTGGGTTTGCGGGCATTCACTTGGGTTTGGGGTTTAGGGTTTAGGGTTTAGGGTTTAGGGTTTAGGGTTTAGGGTTTAGGGTTTAGGGTCTAGGGTTTAGGGTTTAGGGTTTAGGGTCTAGAGTTTAGGGTCTAGAGTTTAGGGTCTAGGGCCCCCCATCCTAGCTGACCTGTCGTCTGAGGGTTGTTTGGTCCGGTTTCCAAGTGAGCAGGTCAGGTTTAGTGTTGGGGATTGAACCCCTAAGCCTAAACCGCACCGAAGCCCGAAGCCCTGGAACAAAGACGCTGCGTTTTTAGGGGTGCTTGCAAGTTCATGTCTGTAGTTATAAGCGGAGTTATAGGTGAGTTAACTATAACTGTAACCCATTTTGGGGGACTTATATCCCTACTTATAACTACCCATGAACCTCCAAGTGTAAGTCGTCTTCGTAAGATTCCGTGGTTCTTCCCTTTGTTGCCCTTCCTCGCTTTATCCAGGGTCTCAGCGGCTAGGTTTCGAACTCTACTTGGAGGGTCATGGGCAGCTCGTAGTAGGGTTATAAGCCCCCGAATATGGGTTGTAATTATAGCTATCCTACTTATAACTACCCGTGAACCTCCAAGTAGTCTAGACTGTTGGCCTCAGTGCAGGAGATTCCGGGGTGTGGGGCCTGGGGGTGACATGTGTTTCCTTCGCACACAGAAGCAACAGATATTACCTACAGTTCCTCAGGATTTTGGAGTACGTAAGACCAGGATCTCTTACCTGCATGATGTGCTTTAGCGTCAGTTCCTCTGATCATAAGGGAAATCCTAGGCAAATGATGACAATCATAGCACTCATCAGATTCGTCGCAGTCGCAATGGAAAGAACCCCGCTTTCTACCCTGATGCCCCCCAAGCCCTGAATAATCAGACTTCCTCGACCCAGTGGCCCCCAGAAGGAAATCCGTGGTCGGGAACTGCTCGCCCGTCGTCAGCGACACACCTGAGCTTGCAACCGAACCGACGGCGAGGGTGCCGGGTGCAGGGTCTAGGCTTTAGGGCTGGTTTACAAGGGTCTAGCATCTAGAGTTTAGGCATCAGACTGAGCTTCGGGTGTAGAGCTATCTAGTTATCTAGGATAGTTCTCACAGTAGAAGTTTCCGACGCAGCATTCAACACCCGCAACCCTTGAGCGCCGAATGTCACACCCAGCCTGAACAAGAAGCTGAAATCAATGAAGCCCCTACACCCTGAACCCGGAGCCCTCTGCCGGTGCTCCCTGTCCAGGCTTCCCAGGCGCCGTCCGTATACTCTCGCTGCATGGCCGGGTCGATGCTGAGCACCTTCGTCGATTCGAGGGCTTCAATGTCAAGATGTAGGGAGAACAGATAGTGGAACACTATCGTCGTAGTAGTCGTCGTAGTAGTAGTAGTAGTAGCAGTAGTAGCAGGAAGAATAATAGTAGTACTCATCATCATCACCGTTATCATCACCACAGTGGTAGTTGTAGTACTAGTAGTAGTAGTAGTAGTAGTAGTAGTAGCAGCAGCAGCAGCAGGAGTAGTAGTAGTAGTAGTAGTAGTAGTAGTAGCAGGAAGAATAATAGTAGTACTCATCATCATCAGCATTATCATCACCACAGTGGTAGTTGTAGTACTAGTAGTAGTAGCAGCAGCAGCAGCAGTAGTAGTAGTAGTAGTAGGAGGAGGAGGAAAAGGAGTAGAAGTAGGAGTAGTAGGAGTAG